CATCCTGTCACCTTTCTCCCCACAGGAGTCCCAGACCAGCAGCAGGAGCTTTGGAACACCCCCAGCCTTGGCCCACCCCTTCCAGATCTCAGCTCTGGGCCAATGGAGAGGGAACCTCACTGCTTGGCACAGTGGAGACGAGGCCAAGTATATTGCTCCAAGATGGATAAAAGGGTCCCTGCTGTCTGCCCCTGGCCCTAGGACCCAGGATGTGACTTGTTTTGCCCATTATGCTCCTCATCCCCCTTACTCCAGGCCTCCTGACATGCCCCTACCTGTCACTCATTTTCTAGAGAACTCATCTTATCCCAGCCAGGAGCAGGGATGAGGGGAAGGGGAGTGAGTTCAGAGGGCAAGGAGAGACCAGAGGAGGTCCAGCCTGGGGGAGAGGGGCTGGAGCGAAGGTGAGCAGAAGTGCTCACACCTGCCTTGGGGCAGCCCAGACCCCAGGGGCTCCCAGGGCATTGGGCTGTGGACTGGCTTTCTTCCTTCCTTCTGGGCTCACTCCTGCAAGACTAAGACCGCACAGCCAAGGCGGGACTGGCTGTGAATGCAGGTGTCTTGGAAAGGCTGGACCCGCAACCAGGTGGTGCCCTCCCTGGTAGGTAGATTGCAGAGAGACTCCCAGATGCACAAGGAGAGTTTAATTTGTTCAGGCGGTGTTCAAGCAGGGAGTGGTGGCGGGGTGGGTGGGTGTCAGAACCCTGGGTGAGGGCGAGAAGCCATGATGTCATGGAGGCAGGAAGGCCCAGGGAGGGGTGAGAATTCAGTTCATGACTCAGGCACCCACACAAGCGCTCAAGCAAACCGGCCCACAGTCACGGACTCCAGTCAGCCCTGAGTGGTCACACAGGCTTCCATCTACCTGTACAAGGGACTCAAAGGCATTCATTCCCAGGTGGCCTGCACCATGCGCCCAGCCTCCCGACGTGTAGCTGTGCACAGGGACACGTGTGTGCACACAAATGGAAGCACCCAAGCAATGGCACACAGACGCACCCCGAGGATGCCCACATGCACGGGCACAGCCACACACCCAGATCTCTGTGGACCTAAGCCAAACACACAGCCAGTCCGGCACAGATGTGCACACACAGGCTTTCTGCTGGTCCATCCGCGCCCTGTGCACCAATTCCCCTAGAGGCGGGTGGCGGTATTGCGAGTAGGCAGTGCCAGGCTAGGGGAGGGCGTGGCAGGGGGCAAATCCTCCAGGAAGACTCTGGCGGGCATCTGGGGCGAGCGGGGCTCAGGCCTGGCATAGCAGAGGGTGGCACGAGTGATGAGGCGGTCCAGAGGCTTTAGGGAATGCATCCAGTGTGGCAGAAAGTCCCAGGTCTGCAGCCACTTGGGCAGGCGCCCGGGGCTGTGGTTCTGCAGGAAGTTGACAAGGACCACGAAGGCCAGCAGGGCCCCAAAGGGCGTGCCCACACCCACCATGGCCTGCCAGCCCGCCATGGAAATTCCGAACACCAGCGAGGGCAGCAGCAGGAAGCACACCAGGAGATAGAGCACAGCAAACCAGCGGTACTTGGCCGTGCGTTCGCCCAGTGCCTTGGCCATGCGGATGGGCAGGCGTGTGCAGGGCACTGGGTACCACAGCAGGATGCCCGAGATGTTGAAGAAGAAGTGGCAGAGAGCAATCTGCAGGAAAATGAGTGGAGGACCACCAACGTGGGCGGCGGCCCCAGTGCCCGCTCGAGGCAGGCCAGGGGTGGTGGCTGGGTGACAGACAGCCTGCTGCCTGGTCTGAGCAGTGCCGTGGGGAGTCCCCACTGAGGGCTGAGGGTTGGCCTGCACCCAGATTCCCCCATAGTGGCCGTGGCAGCTATTCAAATGCCGACATTCTTCTGGACCCATTGGTAAATAACCACAGCCCTGAGCGCTCCACAGTCAGTCCCCCCACGGAGCAGATTTTGCCAAGATGAGGCAAATAAAAGGTTAATATTGATGTTTGGCTCACCTGCTGTGGTCCTTGCTTGGTCAGCGTCCTGGCCCCAGGCCCCTGGCTTGTCAGTTACATTTTGCCTCCTAGAGCCCCTCCCATTGGAGGGCTCCCCCACCCCCAAATTTTATCTAATCCCTACTCTGCTGCTCCTTGGTCTCCCGGACTAGGCCAGGCCCCTCCGATCTGATGATCCCATGAAGGGCTCCCTGTGTGGTGCAAAGAAGTAATGTGCTAACCTGCAAGCTGAAAGATGGGAGGTTTGATCCACCCACAGGTGCCTCACAAGAAAGGCCTGGTGATCGACTTTTGAAACATCAACCATTAAAAGCCCCGTAGACAGCACTGTTCTACTCTGGCGTGCATGCAGTCTCCAAAATCCGAAGCAAGCAGGTGGCTGGCAAGCCCGTTCGGATTCATAGCGATCCAACAGGACTGGGTAGAACTGCCCCTGTGGATTTCTGAGACTGCCACTCTTCCTCCCTCAGAGCGACTGGCGGTTTCAAACTGATGACACCACACCACCACACCACCAGGCAACTAAATGTGGTGCTTTTTGACGCTGACGTGTGGGGTCGCACGGTGTCTACTTTGCCCAGTGAGCGTGGTATAGTGGGGGGCACTATGGAAAAGTATTTGTGACATGTTGTAACCCCCTTGGCCCCAGGCTTGCCCTTGCCCCTGTGCCCCCCACCCGGCACGAACCTGGACGGAGCTGGGCAGCTTCTCCTTGGGGCTGGCGAGAGCAGCCAGGATGGCGGTGGTAGTGGTGCCGATGTTGGAGCCCAGGGTGAGGGGATAGGCCCGCTCAATGCTGATCACACCCAGGCCTAGAAGGTGGGTGGAATGGCAGGAGGAGAGGATACACTACCCTTCCCAAGGCCTTTATTCAGCGCCTGCTCTCCCCCCTGTCCCCCCCCAGCATGGGCACTCACCGATGAGCGGGGTGATCGCCGAGGTGAACACGGAACTGCTCTGGACTACGAAGGTCATGCCTGCGCCCACCACGATGGCGAGGTAGCCCGTGACCCAGGAGAAGGGGTCGGGGAAGTCTGCGAGGAAAGGTCACCCCAGCCTGGTCAGTGGGGGTCACTGGCAAGGGGCTGGGAGGCTTCCTGGGAGCTTCAATGCCAGAGCCTCGGCTACAGGCCTCTCTGCCTCAGTCCCACGCTGCCATGGCTTTGTTCAGGTCACCCCTCTGCTGGGAGGGCCTACCGGCTCAGGAGAGGTAGGGTCCTCAGGGGGAGGAAGCTGTCCTGCCCCCTGCTCAGCTCTGTGCTCCCCTAACCCCGGGAAGCTCTTTGTCCAGCATTTGCCTGGCAGAGCCTTCTGGTGCCAGAGTGATCGGAGCAAGACATAGTGTCACGTTCCTGCCCCAGGTGCTCCACGTGCCCCCTGCCCCTTGCATAAAGCCCAGGCTCCGGGCAGAGCCTGCCAGTCCCAACCCTGGCCCACTCCCTGTGGCCTGGGTGAGCCACCCTGCACCCCCCTATTTACCAGTCACCACCACCACCACCACCACCCCCCGTCAAGTGGTTTCCTGCCTCTGAGCCTTTGCATGTGCTCTTCCTGCTAGCCCGAATGCTCTTCCTGCACACACCCCCACCATTTCTCATCTTAGGCTCTGCTGCAACACCACCCTTTGGGAGAAGCCTCTGCTGACCCAGGGCAGCTGCCTCCTCCACTCACTGTGCTGCCATGGGGGGCTCCCGCCAGTCCCCACCCCCAGGCAGCTGGCTCATTTCTCCAATGTATCCATCTGGGTCACTTCTCTTTGCTTGCCCCAAACCCCCACCTGAGCTGTGAGCCCCGAGGGCAGGATCCATCTGGATTTGGCTGACCTCTGACCCGGCCACCCCATCCTGCTCAGAGCACAGCAGTCACCAGTAAGTCCACTCGGACTCACGGTGACCCCACGTGGGTCCCAGCAGAATGGTGACCCACAGAGGCTTCCATGGCTGGTTCTTCAGAGGCACATTGCCAGCCCTTTCTTCCAAGCCACCTCTGGGCAGACTCAGCCTCAGGCTTCCACACAGCAGCAGAGTTTGCCAGCTGCTTCTACCACCTAGGCTCCTGTGTGGCACACATTGCTGGGAGCTGAATGCATTGCCGCGGATGAAATAAACCCTCTCTGAGACTCTCAGAGCGAGAGCCCTCAGCGAGGATGCACCACAGGTCCCCCAGCCATCCTCATCACACGGGCCTCAGAAATCACCTGCTCCCCCTTCCTTTCTCTGATGGGGAAACAGAGGCTCAGAGAAGGCCGGGCTCAGTGCAGATGGCCCAGCAAGGCAGTGAGCAGACCCAGGGAGACCTGGAAGGCTCTTCTGACGTGCCCTGTGCTCACCGGTGTTGATGACCTTCTGAACGACCTTGGCCACATGGCCCTTGAGCAGGCTGTTGAGTGTCTTGACCAGGAGGATGAGGCAGGTGCACAGGACCACCAGGGAGCTGGCCAGCAGAATGAGCCCCACGACCAGGTCGGGCAGCTTCGTGTCCACAAAGAGGTGTTTGCCTGTGGAACAGGGGTATGGGGTGTGTGTGTGCCAAACTGCCGAGCACTGGTCCCGATGCTAGCTTCCAACCCCCATCTTTGCCAGTTCTAAGACCCCCACCTCCAGCCTCCAGCCCAGGAGCCTGAAGGTGGACAGGGAGTGGCCGGCCCTGGACCCAGCCTCCCCACAATGGCAGGCACTCACATTTCTCCAAGGTGGCATTTCCAAGGGGCCAGCTTGCGTTGGCCTCTGCCCTGGGCATGGAGGTGTGAGCCTAGATTAAGAGGAGGTGACTTTAGAGAATGTGAGAAAGGCAGGCTGCGCTTAGGACTAAGATCGGGGTGGGGTGACCAAGATGGGCCGCTGGACCCTGTGACTGCAGATGAGCCCTGAAAGAGCTCAGACTGTGGATGAAGATGCCCACCACATGGGGACCTGGCCCTCGGAGTCCACCTCCTGGGCCGGCCGAGGACTCCCGATCACCAAATCCATCGTGTCCTTGTTGCCCCACCTTTTATCTCCAAACCCTTTCTCAGCCCCGTGAGGCTCCTGCTTCCCTGCCGGCACCTCGTCCCCCTGCAGCGTGGCCCAGGCTCTGCTCTGCCTGCCTGAGCTCACTGTCGCACTCACGCCTACCTCTCCCCGCCTGCCTCATCTACTGTCAGAAGGGAGGGGGCTCCCCAAGGAGGCCTCCCCAATTCAAAAGGCCACCGAGCCAGGCAGGTAACAGGTTGGAGTGGGGGGGTGGGGGAGGGCCTGTATTCTGGGCCAGCGGCCACTCAGTGCCAGGCCACCATCACGGTCCAGGGGCACAGCCAGCACACCACATGGTCCGAGTCACAGGGTGTAGATGTGCCCGAGGTCAGTGCTCCCCGTTTGCAAATGTTGGCAACCACTTGGAGACGCCACAGTTCTCTGAAGGCCAAACAGAAGCCGCTTGGTGCGGCCGGGTGGCAGTCATCTGCAGCCTCAGTGGGTGAAGCTGTTCTTTAAATGCCTTCCCCCAGGAGGCCAGCGGCCTGCCAGCCGCGGGAGGGACTTGGCTCTCTGGTGGCCGCTGCAGCTTTGCTGTCTCACAAAGGCAGGGCTGAGCAGAGAGCACTTACCACCCCGAGGCCCACATGCCCAGCAAGAGCTGCCCAGGGCCCCCCAGAGGAACATGAGGGCTACTGCTCCACTCCAGCATTCACCACCTGCAAATGGTTAATGTGCTCAACTGTTCATTGACAGGTTGAGGGTTCTAGTCTGCTCAGCGGGACCTCGGGAGAAAGGCCTGGTGATCTACTTTGGGAAAGCCAGCCACTGAAAGTCCTGGGGAGCAGCGTTCTACACCCACAGAGCCACCGGGAGGTGGGAGTATCTCAGCACTGTGAGGTGGGCTCTGGTATCCAGGACACTGGTACTAGAGGGTGCATATAATCTGGGGGCGCTTGGCTGCTAACTAAGATGTTGGTGGTTTGAGTTCACACACCCATGCTGTAGGAGAAAGGCCTGGGGACTGAAGACTGCAGGCATTAAAACTCTACAGCCTGTTCTATTCGGCCACACAAGGAGCCAACTCCTAGGTGACAGGCTTGGGGCTGGTATGGGGTCTGGCCCCCTTCCTGTGAGCTCCACATCCCAGGCCCCTGGGGCCATCTGGTACTGATAGTGGGGCTTTTACTGGCTGTCGGCACATGGCTGTGTTTGGCTGCGTTAGGTTTTGTTTCAAATGGTGTCATTCTCAAAGACTGGGAGGTGGAGCTGGGCTAATGCTCGACTGGCTCACATGCCCAGGCCTCGGGGCACTGTCACACCCTGCCAGAATTCACATAGAGAAATCAAGGAAAAAGCTCTGATGGGTTAGACTGGACAACCAGGCCAGCAGGGGGAGTGGAGCTACTTCCTCCCCGCTGGCCACCCCAAGTCCACGGCAGGGAGGGCATCAGGGGTCTATGGCCAGGCAGAGCGGCGTTCATGTCCACTTCTTGTCCCAACTGTCTAGGGCAAGTCATGCTAACCCTCAGCCCACTTTCTCTACTCAGGTGGGCGTGATCACAGCGAGGGTGTCAAGGTTACAGGAGAAACTGGGGGGTGGGGGCACCCGGTCTCTAGAGTGGATGAGATCCTCCCTTCCAGGATCAGATGGTGGAAGGGGGTGTGTGATTGACTTCAGAGATGAGTGTCTGACCCAACCTGTACTGGCTCTGGGGTGTTCAGGAGAAGGGAACTCCCAGACTGTGGGAGTCTGGGGAGACTGCAGGAGGAGGACAGAGCTGGTAGGGGCAGGGGCAGGTAGGGCAAGGTGAGGGCTCAGACCTCTGAGGTTTAGAAGTGGGACCTTTCTGCCTGGGACATGTGACCCCGATGAGCCTATAGGGAGAGTCTTCAAACCATAGCCCGGCTCCCTGCCATTGAGCACGATTCCAACTTAGTGCACGATTCCGACTCTTAGTGCCCCCGTGGCTCATAGTGGCCCTGTGGGTTTCCGAGACTGTAACCCTCTATGGGAGCAGAAAGCCTCCTCTTTCTCCTGAGGAACAGCTGGTGCTTTCGAACTGCTCAGCTACGGTTAGCAGCCCAGTGCATAACCTCCCACCACTGCCACCACCCCCAGGGATCCAGGGAGAGTCTCCTAGGACAAGGTAGAACTGCCCCTGTGGGTTTCAAAGACTGGAACTCTTTACAGAAGTACAAGGCCCCAGGAGCAGCTGGTGGTTTTGAACTGATGACCTTCCAGTTCGCCGCCCAATGAGTAACCATTATGCCATCAGACCCTCTCAGAGAGAGTCTAGAGCAGCAGTTCTCAACCTGTGGATCACGACCCCTTAGGGGTCAAATGACCTTTTCACAGGGGTTGCCTGATTCAGAACAGTAGCAAAATTACAGTTATGAAGTAGCAATGAAAATAATTATATGAAAAATAAAAAGAAAAGTATTTTATGGTTGGAGAGTCACCACAACATGCGGCACTGTATTAAAGGGTCCTGGCATTAGGAAAGTTGAGAACCACTAGTCTAGAGACTCTTATTAAAGTCCAGAAAGGAGTGTCGAGACAACCGGAGGGGCAGGCTTCAGGGAGAGGGGCTGAAGGGAAGGACCAGGCAGATCCTGGGCTTCCTTGTAAAGTGGAGGAAAAGGATGGAAGCCCCAGCCTAGATAAAGGAGCATGAAAAGTTAGAGTCTAGGGGAACACCCCGGTGGTGTGTGTGTAGGGTGTGTGGCACAGAGGTAGGGGCAGGGGCAGGTAGGGCAAGGTGAGGG